AGATCTCTTGGAAGATATTTGCAGATTTTTGGCTCAACCGAGTGCAGCCCAAGATATGAAGCAAGTAAAGTATATATAATGAGGAGAGACTTGTTCTGTTTGCCATGAATCATTATGACTTTAATTCTTTTTGTCTTCAGAAACCCGCAAAACAAAGGTGTTGTGAACTTTCTAATTTTGGAATCAAAGATAGAGAAAAATGAGAGAACTTTTCGAAAGAATTATAAGAAACTGATTTTGAGTAATAGTAACATGTATGGTTTAAGTATATACAGCATAATTTCGGTCCTCAAAATTTTTTTTTCTGGGAAAATACTGCTGCAAATATTTTTCTCTGTCACCTTCTTCTACAGTTATTATTCTGTCTTTATTGTTTGATTTAGGAGCTAGCTTCTCTAGACTTGAGAGAGTTTTCATTTACGATCGATAAGCAGAACGTTCCACTTCGTATACATGCATCTGCAAATGCGTATTACAAAACTTGGCCTGCAAAGAATATTCCAGCTTTCCTGCCCGACTTTGAAAGATATTAAAGTTTTTCTCAAGAATCTTCTTCCCTTTTTATTTGAGTCAAATATTTTTCTGTTCAACAGAGTTTTGTGCACAGTGCACATATTATTTGAGAAAAAAAAAAATTGCAGATCGCTCAGTTTTTTTTTAATACATATATTTATTTTCCACTAAAGTTCCAGATGCAGGGTATTGTACTTTTTTCTCCCCATAAGCGAGAAGCTATTCCGTTGAGTGAATGTCTATTTTCTACTTCACATTGTCTTAACGTATTACCTTACTTTTTGAAAGGCAATAGAATATGCTAAACCCGAATTATGGAGTGTGCTAAAGTAACATCTTTCCTCGGTCTTAAAAATTTCCATTTCTAAAAGTTTCCCAAGTAGGATACTTGGATTACCTTCGTGCATCCAAATTAACACGTTTTGGGACTCTGTGACCTCATATGTGTGTGTGTATATGTATATATATATGTATGTATGTATAAAACTACTGCTGCTTTTGAAGAATTGAAGAAAGAGAATTCGAGCAAAGATTCAGGTGTGGTTAACATCCATAGCACGTACAACCTACAATTTGGGGGATTTCGATATGGATATGCTACTAGCTTGTAAAGAAGACTTAACCTACATATGGATTCTTTTCTTTAAGGCTTATAGTACTACTCATGCAGAAGAACTTGCAAAAAATAGTTCTAAGATTAGGATTTGGTAACGTCAAAGGCTTATTGTGTTGTGGGATCCAGAGAAATATCTTTCTATTAATCTGAGTAGAATAAAGAGTGAGGATTTCAAAAAGTTACTTGCCATGAACTTTGGTTAGTGAATTTTGTGAATAAAACAAAACGTAACTTGCTTACTTATGTTACACATTAGAAGGAATTGTATGGTACAATTTGTTAATTCCTACGACTTTAGGATTTTTTTCAGTGTTATTTTGTTTCAGTAGTTTAGGATTCAAAAGTATTCAACTTGGTGGACTTTAGAATGCCATAAAGAGCTGTATTAGTGTTTGAGTTCTATTATTATCGTTATGTCTAATAGATTCCGCATAATGTTAAAAAAAATTTAATCTCATAACAAACAACTTTGGTTCATCAAAAGGAAGGGATTAAAAAAAAAGAGTAGAAGGAATTAAATTTTAATCCCAAGATCTCCTCTCGCCAAGTTTTCAATACTTACTATTTTCGTATATTGATTTATTTCAATTCCTATGAAAGAAAGAAATGATTTTCATGAAAGAAATAAGAATAGAAACAAATGATTTTCTATTGTCATTGTTGTGTCTAATATATTCCACATTATTTTCAAAATTTTATCTCATAATAAAAACTTTAGAGCTCGTTTGGGTTGTTATTTTGTAGAATTTTTGTTGAAAAATATACTGTAAGAATCTGATGTATGTAAATAAAAAGCGATTGAAAAATGTATTCATAAAAATTTTTCAAGAAAAATGGCAGTCCAAATAAGGCCTAGATTCATCAAAAGGATGAAAAAAAAAGTAAAGGAAATTATACTTTGTCCCAAGATCTTATTTTCCCAAGTTTTTTTTTTAATTAACCCTCCTTCACCTCTGTACCCCATCCCTTCCCCAAATTGTCAGATTCAAAATTTCATCTCCTTACCCCATCTCTTCCCCAAACTGTTAGATTCAAAATTTGAACTGTGAACCTAGCTGTTAGACTCAAGATTCGAGTTCCAAATTTGACAATGGAGAAAATTATAAGATTCTTCCCTGACCAGTGGGCCGATCCTAGTGGTTTTTTCCCAGGTTTCTATACTTATTATTTTCTTATATTGATTTATTTTCAATTCCTATGTAAGAAATGATTTTCATGTTCTTATTTTGGAAGGAAATAAGCATGAAGTATTAGTAAAATACTTGAATTGCAACATTTTTCATTCTTTTGAAAATTTGAGTTTAAACTATAACAATAAATTGTAACTAATGCTCAAAAAAATAAATTGTAACTAAAACCTAATTCCAAAATGGTAGGTATTTAAAGGAAAAAAAAGACTAATGCTCTTGTTTTTTGGACCATTTTTCATAAACATATATTAAAAAGAATTCAAACACATTTTCATTTATTGTAACATTTTTAAATAGCACTCTAAAAATAACCGTAACCAATGCAGCCTACTTTAATGTGCTCTGATGATCCAATGGACCGTAATAAATAGAACAATTTATTAAGAAAGGGTAAGAGTTTCTTGATGTGAAGGTGTAAAACAAATATAGATACTTGTTTTTTAACCCTCTCACATTTCTCCACTCCCTTCCCACATTCAACTATTTGATATAGGATTCGAATTCTAAATCTAAAAGTAAGAAAAATCCTAAAAGCCCTCCTGATGCAAAACTTAATAGGATATAAGACTTTCCTATACTATATATACATTAACAGGTTTATCTGTGTGTCACATATACAAAACTTAGAGATCAAATTCAATTTTTGCATATTTATCATACATTCAAACCTATTAGTGTAAGAAAAATGATCAAAACTTACCTATATTGATAATACCCATTGTCATTTTGATGATCATTATTCCATAGACTAGTAAATTTTAGCGGAGACACTATTAAGAAAGTAAAATAAAAAATCGATAAAAAATCTAAATATGAAGAGAGCACAAAAATTAAAAAGTAAATCTTATACAGACTGACAGTGTATATACTATTACCATGGATTCATGACATATGTGTAAAAGTTAAATTTTAAATTCAAATTTTGCATAATTATTATTTATTCAACGCTGATAGTATATAAACTGTCGGTGTAGGAAAGATTAATCTAAAATAAAATATACAAGCTCTTGAGGATTTAGGAAAGCAACGATAAGAAAAATAAAAGACAATTCTTATTTCTTATTGGGAGAGACTTAGCAGAAATTAGTAATAATCACTCTAGATACAAATGACCAAGAAAATAAATCACTCTAGATGCTACTATAACAAAGTAACAACTCGATGCTAACTCCATCTATAATAATTCACAAATATATCTCAAAGTTGACTTTCTCCAATTTAATTACTGATGTTACGTGCAGCTAACATAAGTTTACAAGCATAAACTAGCAATGATTAGCATGCATTACCATAATCAGAGAACTTCATTAATCCAATTAACTACCTCCACTTTGGAACCCTAATACACTTTTAGTTTTCGGGGATGCCAACTATAAAACTGTAAAAAATAAAACTAAAATTTTCAGATAGACTATAATAAATTCATAGTGTCAGCATTTTAGCAAATATTAAACTTCGAGCTATAATTATGTGATGTTTGCGGGGAATCTTCGAGGAAAAAGATGAACAACTCAGAAAATCCTAAAACATCAGAACGATACTATCCAAATGTGGTTGACAGGCATATTTACATCTTCATGTGGGTTATATATATGTATATATATGTATGCATGTTTCATGTAGGGTTGTATAGTTTGATCTCCTCCGCTTACAATTATGATCGTTGTGCTCCATAAAACACTACACTAATCGCCCGAAGGCACAAATGTAACGCACCCAAACACATAATGCAACAGAGAGAACGTAATAATACTTACAAACAAAGAATTCAAAACCTTGCATACGGCGCCCTCTTGGGCTTTATGTATGGGTACCTTGTGTCCAACTTTTAGAGAACAACTAATTCCATGTAACTTGTTTTGAAGCTGACAAAACATAAGCTAACAAAACATAAATCGGGCACGATGTGGCCCATAAACCTCCAAATCTTCAATCAGGCAGATGATTGACTGAATGTATCAAGAATGATTCACAAATTCAACTTTAAACCAGCCCAATCCTTTTGCTTCTTTCTAACTCGCGAGTATTCACTTCAATCCAAGAAACTGAAACTCCAGGGTGTTACTTTTTGGGTAAACTTTGAAGTCGGCTATAATGCAGTCAAGTTCAAGAGAGCGTACACTTCGTTAATCTTTGCACCTGTATGAGAGAACTGAGGAGAGGCAAATCGTTCACATTTCAGGTGCCTTAGTAATCTGATTTACGTCTTGTCCGTATAGACTATACACAAAGTAAACATTAATGGGGCTTGCAGATTTGAAGCCAAGGGCTGCAAATACCAAAAAAACTGTACAAGGAATATACAGCTTTCCCCACTTTCGCTTCGTATCCTCCAATTCTATAGGTGTACTGCTATCTATGGTTATGCTGCTCTACTTAGATTACGATCTACTCTTCTGCTGCCTATATATTGGATGTTCAATTAGCCTGCTGATTGTCCAAAAAAAAGAATGAGCCACCTTTCTGGGCCTCGACAATTCCACCAGTTTATGGAATAAGATGCGTGGTGAATCCCAAATTCCAGTAAGGAGCCACTTTTGTCAAGCCTCAACGTGCTACCCGCTTGTGAAATTAGTACAGAGGGCAAGTCCCTAATCCGACGTCCACCCCCAGAACGAGGCTAGACAGAGGCCCATGATAGCCATGCAACTACTGAGCATGCAGGAGGAACTGCTTGAGTGCTCCAAGGAATTGAGTTGCAAGCAGCCCTGCCAATGTAGAAACTCTGCATTCCTGTACACAATGAAACTGCGGCTGACTTCTTCTTCTAACCTGCCACAACAGCAAAGTCGTCAGATTTCGCTAGCTTGAAACTCTAAAATAGATATTACTTTAATTTGCACGCAAGCAGCATCTAGTTTCAGATCATCTTGATCAATACTGGCTTTACTTGTGAAAACAACCTGGTTGAGCTAGTAATACCAACATTAAATCCCAAGAACAAGCGAACTCCAATCACTAAGATTTGCAGAACTAGATGCAATCAAGGCATCAATTAAAAAAAAAGAGAAGGTTGCAGCAAGTAAACACTCTCTTACTGGAAATTGTAAAGGCTAGGCTACACACTCTACACGAGTAATTTTGCAACCCGGTTGAAGAATTGAAAGAGGCATAATGTGAATTACAACTGAAAGATGGTTAATGTCTTGTCTCGTTCAAAATCTACAAAATTTGGGTTAATACACAATTTGTTGCCTCTCAATGCATCACATCTTATACCTTACGTGTAAGAAAATGCTTCAACACAATCTCGTCCAAAATGAAAGTGTTATCACTGATAATGAAGAGCTGATAACAGGAGCAAATATGGTACCTGAAAATTGGGATTTTGGATATCCAATAACCCAAAGTAAATGCCACTGCATGAAACGTCAGTACAGGAGCCACCAATCTCAGACCCTCGGGAGAAAGTATTTGGCTACGATTAATTGCAAGAGGACTGCCAATACACATTGAAGTGCAAATCATTGCAACGAATGGCATCACAGGTTGAAGGAGATAGACAACTGGTTTTGCATATGTGTTGAGGACTAGGCCAAGTGTTACTGGGGCAAGAACAACCTGGTAAGGCAATTTAATATTAAATGAGAAAGTTCAATGCATCCAGATCTGGTAAAAGCTAATCAAAACAATTAAGAGATCATAATTACTCTCTCCATCCAAACACAAGATTTCAAATTTGGGAATTGTTACTTTCATAGAGACATGTAAAATACATAAAGATGATGAAGTACTAGAGCCAGCTCACTCATGTTTTCTAACTGAATTACGTGCCTGCAAAATTGACTTTGACATAGCAACTGCATCAACTGGAACAACAGAACCAATGAGAAGGCCTGTTAGAAGAGGAGTAACGAGGACTGAAGCAATGGTTGATGAGCTGGTCAAAAGAATGCTCAAAGCAACATCGCCTTTACTCAAGAAGCTGGCATAACTAGACAGCTGAGCCCCAGCAACACAAGACATGAGGACAAAACCGGCAAAGAATATACGAGACATTCCAAATGCTCGCGCAACCAACACTCCAAGTGCTGGTTTCAGGGCATATTGTGCAACAAATCCAATAGACAGAGGGACAGGCCTGGTTAAGGGAAAAAAGTAAAGAGGTATAATCAGAAACAAAATCATTAATCAATCAATATTAGTTAAAACAAAAAAAAAACATAAAAATTGATTGAGGTAGTGAAAAAGTTGCAACCTTTTGAATGCCAGAGCAAAGTCATCAATTGAAAGCCTGATCCCAATAGACAACATGATTCCTCCGAGTGCAGGAGCATAGAGTTCTTTTGACACCCTGCAGGTTCCTCTATCATTTACAAAAACAAAACGAAGACATTTGTATAGCTTTAAGTATCAAGCATCTTCATAAAGTGCACATGGAAGACAAGAGAAAAAAAGACAGAACAGATAAATAAATCAATGAGTAAATAAAGAAAACCCATTTGCCTCACTCTGGACTGACGATAAATACTTGAATAATAAAATCAACCCATAAAATAATATAAGGACCACCCAGAACTCTCTGATATTTGCATCAAAACATATGATTTGATCAAACTATGCACCTGAGTCACAGTACTAGATTCCATTGGACAAGTCTTGAAACACAAGCAACACCCCAAACTCCTGAAAATTTATATATATTCACATGATTGAAGCATAAATAAGTTAAGCTAAATATAAACCTTCAGAAACTCCGGATTCGATCAAAAGCCCCGGAAGATTTCTTACCACACAAAAGAAATTGATTGGAAATCTTACCAAGTGAAAGTAGAAGGCTGAGAAAGAGCAGAAACTGCAGTGAGGGCCACCACAAAAGGAAGCATTGCAGACAAAACTTGGGAAGAATCCGCCTTTTTATCAGCTTCCATCACGCTTTCATCGAGGCTTGCACCAAACGATAAGAGAGAAAAATTGCCTTCTCGCTTATGCCACCCAACCTTTCCAGTAAACGGGGACGACGTCGTTGAGCAGGCTATGGCAGATAAAGAACCAAACCCACGGAAACCCTTGTTCAAAAATGGAAGAAGAAGAGGCCTTTTCGTGAAAGCGAGGGAAAAAGAAAGAGAATTGGGATTCGAAGTAGAATCGTTGGGGAGGAAGAGAAATGATGTGGGAGCTTTCGGTGGCGGGAAGTGAGGTTGGAGCAAGGGATATAGATGGAATAATAACTGACATTCCAACTGGTTTACAGAAAGTAACCGTTGAAGATGGAGTGCGGGCGCCGGAGGAGATGGGTTTTCCTTGTCCGGGCCAGGGAGCGAAGAAAGAGAAAGGAGAGGAGTAGAGCGAAGGAGAGTAGATGACGAAAAGATAAACAGATTAGGAAAATCCCTTTGTATTTAGTAGTAGTAGTAGCGAGTACTAGAATATTTTTGTTTTTTTTAAAAAAAAAATTTTTGTTACTACGTAGCACATAAGAGATTTTTCTAGAATGTTCAACGGTTGGGGAAGACTTGCCAATGTGATTGTGATGTGAGACTTTTTGGGGTTTCGATTGAGCGATTTGACGGTCCGGATTTTGTTGAAATGTGTCGCATCCACTCAGCAGCTCATCCTCGTTCATAATCCTTGTTCAAGATTTGCACCCACAACCCCACATCATTCTTCATCCTCAGGTTTGGTCCCGTGTCTTTCCTTGATTTGCAAGTCCTCTAAACCTTTGAACCATTTCCAGAAAAGTTCATTCTGTACAAAGTGTGTTGTGCACCGGGTGAATTAGGCACCTTTCGTCTCCATTGTAATGAACAAAACCAACTTCTATTCTAATCTTGCTATGATGTTACCAATAATTTCTTTTGGTCGGAAGATCAAAGGCCCGAAAACAGAACAGGGAAACTGTTGAATCTGCGCTGCTAAATACTAATTGAAGGCGCAGCTAGGCCCGAAACAAATGTATGGTGCCGTAGGTTTCTTTTAATTACTACTAGTTTAGTATACTTTATACAGCATCTGGGGACTTTTCACATTTGACATTTTCTCCCTATTAGTAATAGTATGAGCTTTGCCTGGAATAATTGCAACACTTAAATGCCACCCAGTGGCCATCAAACTGTATGGGAGACTTCTCCAGTCAATGATATCATCATTGTCCGTCGGCGTCCATCTATAAAGCCCGCCGTGGGTCCGACAGACATCCCCTAGTATTATAACAGTAGTACATGCTGTTACACAAAATCAACCACAATTTCACCCTTCACTGCGAAAGCTTTTACAGTTTTTGAGTCTTATTTAGTTGCAAAAAGGAAAAACTTGTGTTTTGCACAAAGAAAGAAAGCCTAGAATTCCTTCACATCTGCAATTTTATGCCTATTTGGTCGAGTGGTAAACCCAGAGAACAATCTGAATCATTCTCATCGGTCTGGATGAGGATGTTGAGTGGCGGACATATTTTGTAGGAGTTGTTGCTGGTGTCTTTTGTTGGCAGTAACGTCCAGCAAAAGAGAAAAACAACAAAAAGAAGAGAGCCCTTGAGGAGCTATGCTGCCCTGCACTCGGATTGACTTATCTGGCCAAAACTGCAGAGACCTAAAGGGAGACTTTAGATGATATCAATGACAATAATAGAGGGGGTGGTCCATTTCCATTAGAGGGACACTCAGGTGCTGGAAATCCCATTCATAGAAATCTGTCTCCATGTGCATATTCACACACTCTGGAAATCCATCCATACCACGAATCTCTACCGTCACCAGTGATCATTGTCGAGTAAGATCTCTTGGAAGATATTTGCAGATTTTTGGCTCAACCGAGTGCAGCCCAAGATATGAAGCAAGTAAAGTATATATAATGATGGAGGTGAGACTTGTTCTGTTTGCCATGAATCATTATGACTTTAATTCTTTTTGTCTTCAGAAACCCGCAAAACAAAGGTGTTGTGAACTTTCTAATTTTGGAATCAAAGATAGAGAAAAATGAGAGAACTTTTCGAAAGAATTATAAGAAACTGATTTTGAGTAATAGTAACATGTATGGTTTAAGTATATACAGCATAATTTCGGTCCTCAAAAATTTTTTTTTTCTGGGAAAATACTGCTGCAAATATTTTTCTCTGTCACCTTCTTCTACAGTTATTATTCTGTCTTTATTGTTTGATTTAGGAGCTAGCTTCTCTAGACTTGAGAGAGTTTTCATTTACGATCGATAAGCAGAACGTTCCACTTCGTATACATGCATCTGCAAATGCGTATTACAAAACTTGGCCTGCAAAGAATATTCCAGCTTTCCTGCCCGACTTTGAAAGATATTAAAGTTTTTCTCAAGAATCTTCTTCCCTTTTTATTTGAGTCAAATATTTTTCTGTTCAACAGAGTTTTGTGCACAGTGCACATATTATTTGAGAAAAAAAAAAATTGCAGATCGCTCAGTTTTTTTTTAATACATATATTTATTTTCCACTAAAGTTCCAGATGCAGGGTATTGTACTTTTTTCTCCCCATAAGCGAGAAGCTATTCCGTTGAGTGAATGTCTATTTTCTACTTCACATTGTCTTAACGTATTACCTTACTTTTTGAAAGGCAATAGAATATGCTAAACCCGAATTATGGAGTGTGCTAAAGTAACATCTTTCCTCGGTCTTAAAAATTTCCATTTCTAAAAGTTTCCCAAGTAGGATACTTGGATTACCTTCGTGCATCCAAATTAACACGTTTTGGGACTCTGTGACCTCATATGTGTGTGTGTATATGTATATATATATGTATGTATGTATAAAACTACTGCTGCTTTTGAAGAATTGAAGAAAGAGAATTCGAGCAAAGATTCAGGTGTGGTTAACATCCATAGCACGTACAACCTACAATTTGGGGGGATTTCGATATGGATATGCTACTAGCTTGTAAAGAAGACTTAACCTACATATGGATTCTTTTTCTTTAAGGCTTATAGTACTACTCATGCAGAAGAACTTGCAAAAAATAGTTCTAAGATTAGGATTTGGTAACGTCAAAGGCTTATTGTGTTGTGGGATCCAGAGAAATATCTTTCTATTAATCTGAGTAGAATAAAGAGTGAGGATTTCAAAAAGTTACTTGCCATGAACTTTGGGTTAGTGAATTTTGTGAATAAAACAAAACGTAACTTGCTTACTTATGTTACACATTAGAAGGAATTGTATGGTACAATTTGTTAATTCCTACGACTTTAGGATTTTTTTCAGTGTTATTTTGTTTCAGTAGTTTAGGATTCAAAAGTATTCAACTTGGTGGACTTTAGAATGCCATAAAGAGCTGTATTAGTGTTTGAGTTCTATTATTATCGTTATGTCTAATAGATTCCGCATAATGTTAAAAAAAATTTAATCTCATAACAAACAACTTTGGTTCATCAAAAGGAAGGGATTAAAAAAAAAGAGTAGAAGGAATTAAATTTTAATCCCAAGATCTCCTCTCGCCAAGTTTTCAATACTTACTATTTTCGTATATTGATTTATTTCAATTCCTATGAAAGAAAGAAATGATTTTCATGAAAGAAATAAGAATAGAAACAAATGATTTTCTATTGTCATTGTTGTGTCTAATATATTCCACATTATTTTCAAAAATTTTATCTCATAATAAAAACTTTAGAGCTCGTTTGGGTTGTTATTTTGTAGAATTTTTGTTGAAAAATATACTGTAAGAATCTGATGTATGTAAAATAAAAAAGCGATTGAAAAATGTATTCATAAAAATTTTTCAAGAAAAATGGCAGTCCAAATAAGGCCTAGATTCATCAAAAGGATGAAAAAAAAAGTAAAGGAAATTATACTTTGTCCCAAGATCTTATTTTCCCAAGTTTTTTTTTTAATTAACCCTCCTTCACCTCTGTACCCCATCCCTTCCCCAAATTGTCAGATTCAAAATTTCATCTCCTTACCCCATCTCTTCCCCAAACTGTTAGATTCAAAATTTGAACTGTGAACCTAGCTGTTAGACTCAAGATTCGAGTTCCAAATTTGACAATGGAGAAAATTATAAGATTCTTCCCTGACCAGTGGGCCGATCCTAGTGGTTTTTTCCCAGGTTTCTATACTTATTATTTTCTTATATTGATTTATTTTCAATTCCTATGTAAGAAATGATTTTCATGTTCTTATTTTGGAAGGAAATAAGCATGAAGTATTAGTAAAATACTTGAATTGCAACATTTTTCATTCTTTTGAAAATTTGAGTTTAAACTATAACAATAAATTGTAACTAATGCTCAAAAAAATAAATTGTAACTAAAACCTAATTCCAAAATGGTAGGTATTTAAAGGAAAAAAAAGACTAATGCTCTTGTTTTTTGGACCATTTTTCATAAACATATATTAAAAAGAATTCAAACACATTTTCATTTATTGTAACATTTTTAAATAGCACTCTAAAAATAACCGTAACCAATGCAGCCTACTTTAATGTGCTCTGATGATCCAATGGACCGTAATAAATAGAACAATTTATTAAGAAAGGGTAAGAGTTTCTTGATGTGAAGGTGTAAAACAAATATAGATACTTGTTTTTTAACCCTCTCACATTTCTCCACTCCCTTCCCACATTCAACTATTTGATATAGGATTCGAATTCTAAATCTAAAAGTAAGAAAAATCCTAAAAGCCCTCCTGATGCAAAACTTAATAGGATATAAGACTTTCCTATACTATATATACATTAACAGGTTTATCTGTGTGTCACATATACAAAACTTAGAGATCAAATTCAATTTTTGCATATTTATCATACATTCAAACCTATTAGTGTAAGAAAAATGATCAAAACTTACCTATATTGATAATACCCATTGTCATTTTGATGATCATTATTCCATAGACTAGTAAATTTTAGCGGAGACACTATTAAGAAAGTAAAATAAAAAATCGATAAAAAATCTAAAATATGAAGAGAGCACAAAAATTAAAAAGTAAATCTTATACAGACTGACAGTGTATATACTATTACCATGGGATTCATGACATATGTGTAAAAGTTAAATTTTAAATTCAAATTTTGCATAATTATTATTTATTCAACGCTGATAGTATATAAACTGTCGGTGTAGGAAAGATTAATCTAAAATAAAATATACAAGCTCTTGAGGATTTAGGAAAGCAACGATAAGAAAAATAAAAGACAATTCTTATTTCTTATTGGGAGAGACTTAGCAGAAATTAGTAATAATCACTCTAGATACAAATGACCAAGAAAATAAATCACTCTAGATGCTACTATAACAAAGTAACCAACTCGATGCTAACTCCATCTATAATAATTCACAAATATATCTCAAAGTTGACTTTCTCCAATTTAATTACTGATGTTACGTGCAGCTAACATAAGTTTACAAGCATAAACTAGCAATGATTAGCATGCATTACCATAATCAGAGAACTTCATTAATCCAATTAACTACCTCCACTTTGGAACCCTAATACACTTTTAGTTTTCGGGGATGCCAACTATAAAACTGTAAAAAATAAAACTAAAATTTTCAGATAGACTATAATAAATTCATAGTGTCAGCATTTTAGCAAATATTAAACTTCGAGCTATAATTATGTGATGTTTGCGGGGAATCTTCCGAGGAAAAAGATGAACAACTCAGAAAATCCTAAAACATCAGAACGATACTATCCAAATGTGGTTGACAGGCATATTTACATCTTCATGTGGGGTTATATATATGTATATATATGTATGCATGTTTCATGTAGGGTTGTATAGTTTGATCTCCTCCGCTTACAATTATGATCGTTGTGCTCCATAAAACACTACACTAATCGCCCGAAGGCACAAATGTAACGCACCCAAACACATAATGCAACAGAGAGAACGTAATAATACTTACAAACAAAGAATTCAAAACCTTGCATACGGCGCCCTCTTGGGCTTTATGTATGGGTACCTTGTGTCCAACTTTTAGAGAACAACTAATTCCATGTAACTTGTTTTGAAGCTGACAAAACATAAGCTAACAAAACATAAATCGGGCACGATGTGGCCCATAAACCTCCAAATCTTCAATCAGGCAGATGATGCTGACTGTATCAAAGAATGATTCACAAAATTCAACTTTAAACCAGCCCAATCCTTTTGCTTCTTTCTAACTCGGAGTATTCACTTCCAATCCCAAGAAACTGAAACTCCAGGGTGTTACTTTTTTGGGTAAACTTTGAAGTCGGCTATAATGCAGTCAAGTTCAAGAGAGCGTACACTTCGTTAATCTTTTGCACCTGTATGAGAGAACTGAGGAGAGGCAAATCGTTCACATTTCAGGTGCCTTAGTAATCTGATTTACGTCTTGTCCGTATAGACTATACACAAAAGTAAACATTAATGGGGCTTGCAGATTTGAAGCCAAGGGCTGCAAAATACCAAAAAACTGTACAAGGAATATACAGCTTTCCCCACTTTCGCTTCGTATCCTCCAATTCTATAGGTGTACTGCTATCTATGGTTATGCTGCTCTACTTAGATTACGATCTACTCTTCTGCTGCCTATATATTGGATGTTCAATTAGCCTGCTGATTGTCCAAAAAAAAGAATGAGCCACCTTTCTGGGCCTCGACAATTCCACCAGTTTATGGAATAAGATGCGTGGTGAATCCCAAATTCCAGTAAGGAGCCACTTTTGTCAAGCCTCAACGGTGCTACCCGCTTGTGAAATTAGTACAGAGGGCAAGTCCCTAATCCGACGTCCACTCCCCCAGAACGAGGCTAGACAGAGGCCCATGATAGCCATGGCAACTACTGAGCATGCAGGAGGAACTGCTTGAGTGCTCCCAAGGAATTGAGTTGCAAGCAGCCCTGCCAATGTAGAACTCTGCATTCCTGTACACAATGAAACTGTCCGGCTGACTTCTTCTTCTAACCTGCCACAACAGCAAAGTCGTCAGATTTCGCTAGCTTGAAACTCTAAAATAGATATTACTTTAATTTGCACGCAAGCAGCATCTAGTTTCAGATCATCTTGATCAATACTGGCTTTACTTGTGAAAACAACCTGGTTGAGCTAGTAATACCAACATTAAATCCCAAGAACAAGCGAACTCCAATCACTAAGATTTGCAGAACTAGATGCAATCAAGGCATCAATTAAAAAAAAAGAGAAGGTTGCAGCAAGTAAACACTCTCTTACTGGAAATTGTAAAGGCTAGGCTACACACTCTACACGAGTAATTTTGCAACCCGGTTGAAGAATTGAAAGAGGCATAATGTGAATTACAACTGAAAGATGGTTAATGTCTTGTCTCGTTCAAAATCTACAAAATTTGGGTTAATACACAATTTGTTGCCTCTCAATGCATCACATCTTATACCTTACGTGTAAGAAAATGCTTCAACACAATCTCGTCCAAAATGAAAGTGTTATCACTGATAATGAAGAGCTGATAACAGGAGCAAATATGGTACCTGAAAATTGGGATTTTGGATATCCAATAACCCAAAGTAAATGCCACTGCATGAAACGTCAGTACAGGAGCCACCAATCTCAGACCCTCGGGAGAAAGTATTTGGCTACGATTAATTGCAAGAGGACTGCCAATACACATTGAAGTGCAAATCATTGCAACGAATGGCATCACAGGTTGAAGGAGATAGACAACTGGTTTTGCATATGTGTTGAGGACTAGGCCAAGTGTTACTGGGGCAAGAACAACCTGGTAAGGCAATTTAATATTAAATGAGAAAGTTCAATGCATCCAGATCTGGTAAAAGCTAATCAAAACAATTAAGAGATCATAATTACTCTCTCCATCCAAACACAAGATTTCAAATTTGGGAATTGTTACTTTCATAGAGACATGTAAAATACATAAAGATGATGAAGTACTAGAGCCAGCTCACTCATGTTTTCTAACTGAATTACGTGCCTGCAAAATTGACTTTGACATAGCAACTGCATCAACTGGAACAACAGAACCAATGAGAAGGCCTGTTAGAAGAGGAGTAACGAGGACTGAAGCAATGGTTGATGAGCTGGTCAAAAGAATGCTCAAAGCAACATCGCCTTTACTCAAGAAGCTGGCATAACTAGACAGCTGAGCCCCAGCAACACAAGACATGAGGACAAAACCGGCAAAGAATATACGAGACATTCCAAATGCTCGCGCAACCAACACTCCAAGTGCTGGTTTCAGGGCATATTGTGCAACAAATCCAATAGACAGAGGGACAGGCCTGGTTAAGGGAAAAAAGTAAAGAGGTATAATCAGAAACAAAATCCATTAATCAATCAATATTAGTTAAAACAAAAAAAAAACACATAAAAATTGATTGAGGTAGTGAAAAAGTTGCAACCTTTTGAATGCCAGAGCAAAGTCATCAATTGAAAGCCTGATCCCAATAGACAACATGATTCCTCCGAGTGCAGGAGCATAGAGTTCTTTTGACACCCTGCAGGTTCCTCTATCATTTACAAAAACAAAACCAAGACATTTGTATAGCTTTAAGTATCAAGCATCTTCATAAAGTGCACATGGAAGACCAAGGAGAAAAAAAGACAGAACAGATAAATAAATCAATGAGTAAATAAAGAAAACCCATTTGCCTCACTCTGGACTGACGATAAATACTTGAATAATAAAATCAACCCCATAAAATAATATAAGGACCACCCAGAAACTCTCTGATATTTGCATCAAAACATATGATTTGATCAAACTATGCACCTGAGTCACAGTACTAGATTCCCATTGGACAAGTCTTGAAACACAAGCAACACCCCAAACTCCTGAAAATTTATATATATTCACATGATTGAAGCATAAATAAGTTAAGCTAAATATAAACCTTCAGAAACTCCGGATTCGATCAAAAGCCCCGGAAGATTTCTTACCACACAGAAAGAAATTGATTGGAAATCTTACCAAGTGAAAGTAGAAGGCTGAGAAAGAGCAGAAACTGCAGTGAGGGCCACCACAAAAGGAAGCATTGCAGACAAAACTTGGGAAGAATCCGCCTTTTTATCAGCTTCCATCACGCTTTCATCGAGGCTTGCACCAAAAGATAAGAGAGAAAAATTGCCTTCTCGCTTATGCCACCCAACCTTTCCAATAAACGGGGACGACGTCGTTGAGCAGGCTATGGCAGATAAAGAACCAAACCCACGGAAACCCTTGTTCAAAAATGGAAGAAGAAGAGGCCTTTTCGTGAAAGCGAGGGAAAAAGAAAGAGAATTGGGATTCGAAGTAGAATCGTTGGGGAGGAAGAGAAATGATGTGGGAGCTTTCGAGTGGCGGGAAGTGAGGGTTGGAGCAAGGGATATAGATGGAATAATAACTGACATCTCCAACTGGTTTACAGAAAGTAACCGTTGAAGATGGAGTGCGGGCGCCGGAGGAGATGGGTTTTCCTTGTCCGGGCCAGGGAGCGAAGAAAGAGAAAGGAGAGGAGTAGAGCGAAGGAGAGTAGATGACGAAAAGATAAACAGATTAGGAAAATCCCTTTGCATTTAGTAGTAGTAGTAGTTCGAGTACTAGAATATTTTTGTTTTTTTTAAAAAAAAAATTTTTGTTACTACGTAGCACATAAGAGATTTTTCTAGAATGTTCAACGGTTGGGAGGAAGACTTGCTAATGTGATTGTGATGTGAGACTTTTTGGGGTTTCGATTGAGCGATTTGACGGTCCGGATTTTGTTGAAATGTGTCGCATCCACTCAGCAGCTCATCCTCGTTCATAATCCTTGTTCAAGATTTGCACCCACAACCCCACATCATTCTTCATCCTCAGGTTTGGTCCCGTGTCTTTCCTTGATTTGCAAGTCCTCTAAACCTTTGAACCATTTCCAGAATAAGTTCATTCTGTACAAAGTGTGTTGTGCACCGGGTGAATTAGGCACCTTTCGTCTCCAGTTGGTAATGAACAAAACCAACTTCTATTCTAATCTTGCTATGATGTTACCAATAATTTCTTTTGGTCGGAAGATCAAAGGCCCGAAAACAGAACAGGGAAATCTGTTGAATCTGTCGCTGCTAAATACTAATTGAAGGCGCAGCTAGGCCCGAAACAAATGTATGGTGCCGTAGGTTTCTTTTAATTACTACTACTAGTTTAGTATACTTTATACAGCATCTGGGGGACTTTTCACATTTGACATTTTCTCCCTATTAGTAATAGTATGAACTTTGCCTGGAATAATTGCAACACTTAAATGCCACCCCAGTGGCCATCAAACTGTATGGGAGACTTCTCCAGTCAATGATATCATCATTGTCCGTCGGCGTCCATCTATAAAGCCCGCCGTGGGTCCGACAGACATCCTCCTAGTATTATAACAGTAGTACATGCTGTTACACAAAATCAACCACAATTTCACCCTTCACTGCGAAAGCTTTTACAGTTTTTGAGTCTTATTTAAGTTGCAAAAAGGAAAAACTTCTGTTTTGCACAAAGAAAGAAAGCCTAGAATTCCTTCACATCTGCAATTTTATGCCTATTTGGTCGAGTGGTAAACCCAGAGAACAATCTGAATCATTCTCATCGGTCTAGGATGAGGATGTTGAGTGGCGGACATATTTTGTAGGAGTTGTTGCTGGTGTCTTTTGTTGGCAGTAACGTCCAGCAAAAGAGAAAAACAACAAAAAGAAGAGAGCCCTTGAGGAGCTATGCTGCCCTGCACTCGGATTAACTTATCTGGCCAAAACTGCAGAGACCTAAAGGTGGAGACTTTAGATGATATCAATGACAATAATAGAGGGGGTGGTCCATTTCCATTTGAGGGACACTCAGGTGCTGGAAATCCCATTCATAGAAATCTGCCTCCATGTGCATATTCACACACTTGCTGGAAATCCATCCATACCACGAAATCTCTACCGTCACCAGTGATCATTGTCGAGTACAATGCATGCATTAAGATAGTAAATGTATACACTAGCCTGTACTCAAATACATAGCGCCCTTACCCAGCATATGCCATGTGAAAGTCACTCTTTGCCAGCTTTTCATTATTTAACATCAAAAAGACAATATCCCAATACAAACGAAGAGATTTTAAAAGGACTAAATATATGTCAGACTTAACTTATTTTTTTTTCCCTAAATTTGTCCCTTTTCTCATGGTCAAAACTCATACTTTAAAAAAAGAATGAAATAGTTAATTTTCACGCCACTATTGGTATTTTGTTTTTCACTTCACCACATGCATGCTTGCAAGTGGCAGCCCCGTTCGGGCCAGCATCATCAACATATTTGCAAAAATGAAAGATTTTAATGAGCTCTTGCTTATCTTTCACTCTCTTTCCAGTGGCAATATACAATTCATTAACCTGATGATTCATTAAAAGGTAACAATCCCATGGTATCGATCCAGGGGAAAAAGGTTTATACTGAAACCCACTGCTCATAGAAAAATAAAAGCTTATTAAAATGCTCCTATTGTTAAAGTAGGCAACAGAAAGGAAACAAGACAATGAACAAGCAAATCAGCTAAAATCCAATCAATGGACACTATAGAAGAAAATGTAACATTGCTATGAGTTCATCAGCAGCTGTATGGGAATATGGGGCAGAAATACTTATTAGTATACGATAGTTATACATGTGGGTTTCCTTGGATACCAACAGTCCAGGAACACCTGTTGTGAAATCGGTACCATGCAAGAATAAAGCCAAAGATGCTTAAAGAATTACAAAATCTAGCTGCAATATTTGAAGTCATAAGGTAATTCTCACTAAGACATTTGACCACTTTTCCCTGTCATCAAGTTTTCTTTCTTTTACTCGTATTCTCGTTCATGAACCTCACTACAGTCCACTTTAGGACAGCTTGATATGTTTAAAAGAAGTGTGGGCAGGTGCCGGATTATAAATTTCTCATCTTGATCCCATTACTTGTAAATAAATCATTTTTGAGAAGTAAATGAGACAACGTATGGAAGAGTTTAGTCAAGTGCAAAACTTAGGTCAATATGTCGTTCTCTCCCTCCTGCTTCCCATTCCACACAGATCACAAGAATCCCAGGAAAATGAAAAAAGAACATATGTTAAACAATTCTAAGAATTTACATGTTAAACAAAACAAGTCATAGCCTCTACATTGAAATATAATTACATCAATCCCCCACTGGAATACTGATTTCCTCTTAAGTGCAGAAAGAACAGAAAGCTTTGGTCTTAAGCTATTGACAATTTTGATTTCCCAAATTTGAACGCATTATAAATATCACAGAAAAGAGAAGCGAATTGCTTGCATGATGTAAACAGGTAAATCTTGTTAGCAAGCATGTGAGAATTGGGAAAAGACCATCTAACTATTTCAATACATGGCCTTGTAAAAGAACACAGCAAGTTTGATAAGGAAGACAAAACTAAACAGAGGCAGAATCAAGATTTGCAGGTAGCAGGTTTTCTAAGCTTAGGATTCAACTCTGGCCCACTAGATTAGAGAAATTCCTGAAATAGTTTCAGCCAACATTACATTCTTCTTACAAGAGAATGTATGTATCTTACAGTCGAAAACTGGACGAGGAAAACAAAACAAAAAAAAAACTTGGAGCAGATGCGTACCATTGCTCATGCAATTTTTGGCAAAAATATGCCGTCTTCAATGAATCCAACTTTCTTAGCCTAATAAAAAAAGACAAATCTGTAAATTCATTCATATTGAGTTGTTCCAGAAAAAGTAAGAAGTATGAGAAGCCAAACTGAAAAGAATTAAAATGAGAAGCAAGACGAGAAACTAAAGTTTGGAAAAGAACTAAAAGAATCATATCAGGCTAGTTGCATATGCAATTTAACTAGAGATTTCTTAAGTTGTTTAATTCTCAGAAACTGAAAAGCAACCAGCAAGTACAATGTAGTGGCATCCAAAAAGCAAAGGAAGATCACAAGCAGTGGCGCAGTTAACTTTGAATGAGACAATAAAGACTACAAATTTAAGAATCAAAATAATATAGATTTTATTTCTTGCATTTATGTATATCTCATCAACTACAAAAAGAGAATTAAGTAACAATCGTATTTCAGGTTTGATATGAATTGAACGTAGTTACAAACCTCTGCAAATCTATCACAAGTAATTTATGTAGTGCTCCTGTATCTTTATATCCTCTCTCTCATAGACACTCAAATGAAGCATCAATATATCCTGGCTTTCTCTCCTCATCTCGGAGTCCAATCACAACCGTCAAAAAGATAGGAGCTGGCATGATAGTTTGCAGCACTATACATGAAACCGCAAGCAAGCACACCTGAATGAAGCATATGACCACTAAACCAGACTTTCGGCAGACATGTACATAGAATGAATAATGGAAGACCCATGGTCTGATTGAGCTATAGTGCAACTTGACCTCTCCTGACTAGCAAAATCTACAGAACAGTCCTTACAAAATCTCCCTGATCAAGCTGATACCGGAGCTTCCCCAAGAGACTCTGCTCACAAACACACATGCATCAGAATCACTTATAAGGAATATAACGTTATCAAGTGAAGTGATAGGAAAAGGAAAAAGGCATCGGAAGATATATTTTGTGGTTATGTAGTCACAAGATCTTTATATCCTGTTGTGAAAAGAACTTTAAAGAACAAAAGGAAGTATTGCAACTGTAGCTAATTTGAGTAGTAACTGAGGGCAAAGTTTCCCATAAGAATCCAATAAAACGTTGGACAGAAATAAAAGTCAAAATTTCACTCTATCAAAGTTCAAACTCAATGAAACAAATTTTAAGAAATCAACTAAAGCATCTATCTGGAAGCAGCGGTCTCATTGTCTCAAGCTTCCAAATTTTGACCGTGGCTCTCCATATTATTTGCCTATAGAGTCAGTTTAAGTTCGGAAATTTTAAGCAAACATCTCTGCTACTACAAAGCCATAAAGTTTAGGCGATCCAAAGACAAAAAACTATGAGATTTGGGAATAAACACGAACAACATCTCTACCATCTTCCAAATTTATAAACCAACATGCCAAGCAAATTAACAAGCCACAAGCCAAAGAATTCTACAGGCACATAAGTATCAGTTGACGATTGAATTTCAAAAGACAAACGAAAAGAGATAGGCGGAAACAAAATGAGGGACCTTTGAAACAGCCTCTAATATGTGCTTCCCATCTTGAATCTGATCCGTGAGCTGAACAGCAGTACAATCCCTCGGTGTCTCAAACGAGGACAAAGAAAACTGCTTAGAAACCACCCCAACATCAAAATAAATCAACCCGGAGCTAGGTATATCCACCCTGATTTCCTTAACGGGAAACCACAAGAACAAATCCTGTGCTGAAATTCCAGCCAGCTCACCGATCTGGCCGTAGCTCAAAGTACCGGAAACATTTGTTTCGTAGTGCAATTCGTTTTCAAATTTAGCATTGCAAGCTTGATCCAAGTGCACCTCAAATTTACCAGAATTATCCAAAGTGAAGTTCTTGACTCCCTTAGGGAGTAAGCCCATTGGCAAGCCATGGCATTTTAGTACTTCATAGATTGAAGAAGATGATTCCAAGTTCGATTGTACTGCTGATGACAGGCAACAGAGTACAAGGAATAGGCAACTGAGGTGTGAGAAAGGAAGCATCTTTTTCATGTATGGGATGGAGTTTAGAATGGTTTGTGCTAAAGCATGGAATATGGGAAAAGGGGTTTAGAATCGCATAAGGGTTTTAGGAAATTTTGGGGTTTTGGGGAAGGGAAAAGAAATTAGAAAGTGGGGGTGGGTTTTTGAAGAAGAAGACGAGAGGAGGGAAGGACGGACGTATGGGAGAAGTAGGAGGAGAAGACTGCTGCCAGCAAGAGTCCAGAGGGGATTAGGAGAATGATCAATTATTGGTGGTGAGAGGTGGGGTCTTGCTAATGTACAAGTGATTCTGAGGTGTAGCCACTGGTATTAGTCCACGTGGAGAGAGAAAAGGGTTGAGGTGGAACGGTAAGAGACGAGACAAGTTTTAAGTTTTGGCACGCGTTGGGTTGGGACTTACACACACAAAGGATGGCGGAGACATCGGAGGCGCGTGAAGACACGCCGTTGCCTTGGCGGCTGGGGGAAAAGGTTTATCGTACCATGCATACCACTTAGTATGATGTGCATGAAAATAGTGCGATAAGTACGAGAGGAGAAGCAAGAATGACCTGGCCGAATAAACCACACAGATGGGGTGGTGTGGTTATGTTGGCAAGAGTGGTTAAAAGAGCTGGCAAAACGCTCTCAAACTAGGACAAGGGGCTGAACGGTTATCAGGAAATCATTCGGGGCGATTTTATGCAGATTGCAAATGGCGTAATTTATTTTTAATAATTTATAATTATAGAATAAAATTTTATGAACTTCACATATGATATAAAAAATAAGATACAAGATGAAATTTGAATCTTACATTTTATTTTTTGGCCAAATCTTGGCCATGAATTGCCAACAATTCATGTCCCTTTTCCCTCAAACTATTAACTTGGTTGATTTCTAGACCAGAGTGTAAAAATATGCACTTAATAATTAAAGGATAAAAAGTTGATCAACTGTATATATATACATATATATATATAAATTAAGGGCCATCCAAATTTTAGATTTTTTTTTTGTCCTAGAATAGAAGAGCAGTGAAGAGTGAAGACTTTTAATTTCGATAAGCAAACGGCCTGTCCTATAGGGGAAAAATTTACTTTTCATCCCTAAATTTTAAGACAGGGACACATTTCATCTCTAAACTTTTAGGCGCAACACATTTAGTACATAGATTAATGATTTTTGACCATATTTAGTCCAAAAATAGTAAATTGTTCAATTTGGACGATAAAGGCTCACGTGTCTAGCACGTGACCGTTAAGTAAAATCAATTTCTCAATCAAAATTAACAGTCACATGCTAAAAATGTGAGTCTTCTCCGTCCAAATTGAACAAATTAACGTTTTTGGACTAAATGTGATAAAAAATTATTAATTCATGCGCTAAATGTGTTGCGCCTAAAAATTTAGGGATAAAATGTGTCCCTATCTCAAAATTTAGAAATATAGAGTGAATTTTTTTTCCCGTCCTATAGCCAAGGAGAGAGGAAAGAAGTGGGAACTGGGGATTGCGGAAGTTAAAATGGTCAGAAACGGTGGCATCCAAAGTCTAGACAAGCCCCAGCTGCTGGAAAAAGCGTACAATAAATCCAAGAATCTAGACGTATAGCTGGAGATGTCATGTGTGCATAATTGGAGAAAACGGCATGTGAAAGAGTGTTTTCTTGGGCTGAGGCTGGAACGGGAATGATGATAGATAGCTATATGATTTTGTCTTTCCCACACACTTGATACTACTACCCTGTACCAGTACCACTTTTTTATATTACTTTTCATATAATTTAATAATGCTGCGACGAATCTTTTCTTGAGTGGTGATGGAGAGTGTTCCCAGATTTACCGGATTGGTATATGTATATATATGCATATCCCACCGTTACTTGTTTAAGTACGTTCGTAAGTATAAACTGAGGCTGCCAACAGCCTCTTCGGAATAGGAGGTTAATGGTTCAATCCTTGTCTTCCACATTCTCACTTAATTACAACTGTCACCTAATTATAGTTTCCTTCGACAGAAAAAAAATTCCGACCCTTCCTCCCCTTAGATTAGATTAGAGTAGATTATACAAATATGCACCATAAAGGGTCGGAGATACTGCAATTACTTCTAAGGACCTCACAGCGCATAATGATGACAACTTTATTAGAAAGTCCTAATAAAGACCCCCTGAAGTGTATAACTTTAAGCTAGAATGAAGAACAAGAAAGACTAAAAAGAGACCGATAAACTTTAAAATTTGCCACGGAAACTTAAGGCCTTTGTTATCTACTCCTCCTATGTATGGTAACTTTGTAAGGCTCAGTCATCAACAAGTTTGTCCATCTCAAACTAATAGAATGGGATCAAGCTAGTATAGCCATTGAGCGGTGCGTGTGGCACTTGCTCATTTAGCATAAACTAATAGATCTCGCCTAAATAGAATGTGCAAGGTGTGAACTGGTGATGGAGATTCCTGGAGGGGGGAAAAAGGATGGGGAGCACTTGGAAATTGAGGAAAATTGCTTGATTAGGAGAACCGTTGCTGCTCATGCTGATTTTATCCACACCCAGAAGCCTAATAAGGGTATAGTGTTTGTTGGGAGGGAAAGACATGGCCTTTTGCTTTTCCTCATTCCTCACTTTTGTAGCTAACTATGGTGGTTATACCCAGAAGCCTGATACAGGTACTATGTTTGTTGGGAGGGGAAGAAGTGGCCCTCTGTCCATCCTAATACAGGTTCCCAAAAATAAAGAAGCTGCATGAAAAAGTGACATTGAATAGATCTTATAGAACTCGGATATTGATGATGGTGGTGGTGGTGGTTGTGGAGAGGGAATTATTGGGAGTGAAAGATGCTGGCGCAGCTTGTATGGTTTGCTTTGTGGCTGCTCTTCTACTTTATTCTTCTGTTATCATATGTCCATGAACAATGTTTGGAGAAGGGAAAGAGAAGAAGGAGAGGGAGAGGAAGGACCGGGAGGAGTTTAAGAAGCAAAAAAGGTAGGATAAGGTGGGGGAAAAAAGCCTTGGAGTCTCCCCTTGAACCAAAAAAGAAAAAAAAAAAAGATACAGTTTGTTGGGAGCGGAAAGACATAGCCTTTTGTCCATCTCTACTCTATTAGCTATCTATGGTGGTGGCGAATGTTCACCAGTGGCCAACCAAGAGGAGCACTTTTAAGACAAACTACTAGTACTACTTGAGATCACCTCATCATGCAAGTTATTTTGATCTCCACTCCTAAGCAGCTCAGCATACTGAAGAATATGAGGATACTCATGAGGAGGAGGAAATGATCGATTAGAATGAGAATGAGAAACTTGCTGATCGGCTACAACTCGGGCGTCTTGGCGAGTTGTAAGATAACCATACTCAGTTTTCCCTTGAACTCTTACAGGAAAATTGAGCTTTGCTTTGTTTCCCTCGAATCTTAGAGCTGCTTCATCATAAGCAAGAGCTGCAGCTTCGGCAGTTTCGAATGTGCCTAGCCAGACCCTTGCCGGCTTCTTGGGATCACGAATTTCAGCGGCCCATTTGCCCCATGGTCTTTGCCTCACTCCTCTATAGTGTCTTCTTCTCTGGTTCCCTTCGATAGTAATACAACATATGTGACCACAAAAGTAAGTGTTGCATCCATATATACAACATTTGCTCTTGAGGAATTCATTTTACTTCTTTCAGCATAAGATATCAGATTTTAAGTTCCCTTACATTCATACTCATATTCATACAGCATAAGATATCAGATTTTAAGCTCCCTTACATTCATACTCATATTCATACGCCCTTAAGTTGGTACAGAATTAATAATGCCATGTACATAGTTCGTAACCTAGCTAGATAGCTATTACATAATTACATAAATCTATCAACAAGTATAAACGGGTGAGTTTTTTGTTTGCAGAAAAATGTAGAATTGGATTGGGTCCTCAGAATGAGTGGTACTTCTTTAGCCACAAGGACAAGAAGTACCCAACAGGAACCCGGACAGATCGGGCCACCTCAGCCGGATTCTGGAAGGCGACTGGGAGGGACAAAGCCATTCACCTTGGCAACTCCAAGAGAATTGGCATGAGAAAGACTCTGGTGTTTTACATAGGCCGTGCTCCTCACGGCTAAAAGACAGATTGGATCATGCATGAGTATCGTCTGGACGATGAAAATGCCGAGATTCAGGTGAATCATCAATTCACTTAGTACTTATAAAACTACTGCTACTCGAGACATTTAATCAATATGCTGAAAGAGTTTAATTCCTCTTAAGTGCGTATGAATATGAGTATGAATGTAACGGAGCTTAAAATCTGATATCTTATGCTGTATGAATATGAGTATGAATGTAAGGGAACTTGAAATCTGATATCTTATGCTGAAAGAAGTAAAATGAATTCCTCAGAGCAAATGTTGTATATGGATGCAACACTTACTTTTGTGGTCACATATGTTGTATTACTATCGAAGGGAACCAGAGAAGAAGACACTATAGAGGAGTGAGCAAAGACCATGGGGCAAATGGGCCGCTGAAATTCGTGATCCCAAGAAGCCGGCAAGGGTCTGGCTAGGCACATTCGAAACTGCCGAAGCTGCAGCTCTTGCTTATGATGAAGCAGCTCTAAGATTCGAGGGAAACAAAGCAAAGCTCAATTTTCCTGTAAGAGTTCAAGGGAAAACTGAGTATGGTTATCTTACAACTCGCCAAGACGCCCGAGTTGTAGCCGATCAGCAAGTTTCTCATTCTCATTCTAATCGATCATTTCCGCCTCCTCACGAGTATCCTCATATTCTTCAGTATGCTTAGGAGTGGAGATCAAAATAACTTGCATGATGAGGTGATCTCAAGCAGTACTAGTAGCTTTCCTGGAGGGCCACTTGCTTCACAGTCTTCATCAGGTTCATCATCAATATTGGTTGAAACTTGGAGGAGGAATACAAGATTACCTGAACAAAGCAAGCGTCGAAGTGAATTCAGCAACGGAGTACGAAAACCTGCAAATGAACGAGAAAAATGGAAGTTAGGAATAAGGGTTGGTGGCGGAGAAATCAGAAATGTATTGTGTGAAAAGATATTGGGAAATTACTGGGTTGAGGGAGAGAGTATAGAGATCTTGAATTGCTTGGACTTGGAGCTTCAGAGCCCCCCACTGAAGCTTTTATAGACAAAAGGAAGAAAGGGAGGTAAAGGTTTTTCACAGGAATTTAATCATCCTACTACAGTCTCATTTCTCTTCTTATCTTTTCCTTTCTTTCTTCCATTTAA